TTCCTTCCTTCCTTCCTTCCTTCCTTCCTTCCTTCCTTCCTTCCTTCCTTCCTTCCTTCCTTTTTTTCTTTTTTTTTATTATGAATGTAGTTTGTTTTTTTTTTTTTCCTTTTCTTTTTTGGGGCAGTTGGGCAGTCTTATTATTCTTAGTTGTCCTGGGCATTGCTATGTAGATTAGGCTAGCCAAGAACTTGTAGTGATCTTCCTTCTTCAGCCTCTTGAGTTCTGGGATTTTGGGATTTTAAGTATGCAACCAGCTGAATGAACCAATAACTTTGTGCATGCAAAATATATATAATAGGTTTTTCATGTTTAATAAAGCCTTGACTATAGTTGCTTGAATTATATTATCACTGATTTTAAAAGCCCACAATCATTTGAAAGTAATTTCTTTTATTTTTGTTACAGGTAAATTGGGATATTCACATTGTACAGAAACAGAGGTAAGAGAAATCTGAATATTTCTGTAGAGCAGCCTTATGCTTTTTATCATGACTTGAGCGGTGAACTCTTGCTGTGGGTGTCTCAGTTTTTAGATGAACAGGTGCAAATCTTCTCCATTCAGGAAGAACAAATGTGAAAGAAATCAGTTATTGGCTGCTTGTCTATAACATTAAAAGAAATGGCTAAAATATAGCTTTCCTGTATTTGTAAAATTACTTAATATTCAGGGTCCTGAATAACAAGTATTTTAAGTTTAGTTTATCTTTTTCATAATACAGTCTGGTATATCATAATAATAACATGCTTGGCTGTGAAATCTGCCATAGTGCTTCTTCAGTAGAACAAAAATTAGGACATGGACATTGTTTCAATGAGATTAATAATGAAATGCTTAGTTCTTTCTTTGTTTTTTAATCCCCTCCCCATGGACAGGGTTTCTCTGTGTATGTAGCCTTGGTTGTCCTGACTCATTGTGTAGACCAGCCTGACCTCCAACTCCCAGCACTTCACCTGCCCCTGCTTCCCTGAGTGCTGGGATTAAAGGTGTGCACCATCACACCCTGCTCTTTTTTTTTGGTTTTCCTAGTCAGGATTTCTCTGTATAGCTCTGAGTGGCTGGCCTTGAACTCACAGAAATCTGCCTGCCTCTCAAGTTCTGGGATTAAAGGTTTGCACCACCACCACCTAGCTTGCTTGCTTGTTTCTAAAAGTCGGTTAATGATTTTAAAATAATTTTGGTAATTTTATTCTGGATTTTCATGTGAAACTGAGGAGTTTCTATGTGGTTGCTTGTGTTCCTTACAGAGCTTTCAAGAACAACATTAGAGGCCAGGCTGCCTGTATGTGTGCTATCCTGTCTAGTAGCAGAGCCCATCGACGAGAGTGTTAGCAGCCTTGTTAATGCCTCCATACTTAAGAAATGTGTGTCTGCTTTTATAATGCAACTGAATATTGATAGTAGGTTTTGCTACATTTTAATACATTTGATATGGATGCAAGCTTCCTAAAAGATGTTACATAATTAAAAAATAAAAAATGCATTCTTTGAAAAATTCTGTTTATTTTTATATTTTCTACTCAATTTTAAAAGTACAAATAATTTTTTCTAAATTAGTTTTTTAAATGGATTAAGATATAGTTAGTCTTTTGATGTATTTTCCAGAAGATATTAAGGAGTAAGTTCAATCTGAATCAGAAGATAGAAGTGTTGCTGTAGTTTCAGGGTCTGTATATTTATAGCCATGAAATTTTGAGTGATGAGTCCTCTCCTTACAGACCTTTGTCTATAAAATATTTAGAATAGTTTCTGTTAAACTCACAGGTGTGGAACTATAAGGAGGGAATTATCTGTGGACTGTTTCGTTAGCTCCCAAGGCACTCTTGTAAATTAGAGTACACAGACATAGTCTGCATCCTCCTGCATTTGGAACTGAACTGTGATGCTAAAATGCAAGGCTTGTCATCAGTCTCATCAGACTGTGTTGCATTGCCATGAGATCAGCGTGATTTTAACATTGTTTGGAATCTGAGGGGATGACGGTCAGACTAACTGCAGAAGCAAACATGACATCTGGCTGTCCATTCCTGAGGCCATTAGAGTTTAGAAAGTTGTAAAAAAAAAAAAAAGTATACTTAATATTTTTGTTAAACAGTAATGTTTTTTTCTTTCTTAAAAGTGTTATTTATATTAATGTGTTGCAGGTTAAAGTGGTTAAATTGTCAGTATGTTTAAATTTTGTTCTGATATCTAGCGTTGTGAACATTAGTAGTTCACAGGCTGCATCAATGAAAGCTGTTTAGCGGCAGTTATTATTACTACTTTCTAGAGAGTGTCAAGGTTGGAAAACCAGGCACTGTTGGGCTCGAGGGCTCCTGTAAGTGCTGCTTGTTCCTGAGATGTGGAGTTGGCAGAAGCTGGAGTGCTGGCGTGCTGAGGCAGCTATGTAGACTCCCTGCAGGGCGATACAAAAGCCAGTCCTTGCAAGAGAGGTTGCACTGGATGAGAAAGAGTACTCTGAGAGCCCGTCTTGGTTGCTGAATTGACTTTCTCTTAAGGAAGGGGACTCCCATATCCTAGTGTGAGGCAGAACCTCTTGTGCTCTGGCTGGCAGAAGGTCCAGACCAAGAATGTATGGAGCTAGCTGTGTCAGACATGTACCTGTGTCAGGCCTGTGCATGTCTGAGTTAATGAAGATGAAGCATGCCTCGATATAGCATGCTGCTCTTCCTTGGAGGGGAACAGGAAGGTCTTGATTCCAAAGCAACAATCGTAGGCTAATGAAGGAAAATAAAATGACCTTTTCTGAAGCTGGAGGAGCCTGATCAAAGCAATATAGGGTTTTTATAGCGCATAAAAACCATGTTATGAAATATGTTCAATTTTTAAATATGAATTTGAGTTTATTTGCGTTTTCGTGAATGTGTACAATATATTTTGATCATATTCATTCTTATTTTCAATTTCCAACTTCTTTTGGATCCTTTTATTCTTAGTTTTACTCTCCAACTTCTCTTGGATCCCCTCGCCCCTCCAAGTTTTATGTCCTTCTTATTTTCCTTTAAAAAAATTAACTACTGAAAAGTTTGTGCTGCCTATGTGTGCATGGGGGTGAGGCCATCCATTGAAACATAGTCAGCCTACCAAGGGCTTGTCCTTAAAGAAAAGTGACTCTTTCCCTTTGCTGGTTAGTTTTGTTTGTTTGTTTGTTTGTTTGTTTGTTTTTATCATTTTAAATCAAGCTTGGTTCATCTGGGAAGAGGGAATCTAAATTGACAAAATGCTTCCATCATATTTTTTTTTATTAATGATTGATGTGGGAGGACCTAGCCTACTGTGGTAGTGACAGCCCTGGGCAAGTGGTCCTCAGTTGTGTACGTGGGCTGAGCAAGTCACGAGGAGCAAGCCTATAAACAGCACTACCCCTACTCCCCAGCCTCTGCTTTAGTTCCTGCCTCAGGTTCCTGCTTGAGCGCCTGCCCTGCTCTCCCTTCATGATGGACTGTAAGTGATGGAATGAACCCTTTCCTTTCTTGTTTTTGTTCTGGTGTTTATCACAGCAGTAGAAAGCACACTAGAGTATTTCCCTAGCAGCCATGGATGTCAGTAACTCCACAACCAGGGGAGGAAGCTTATGAGCCGGTCCTCTCAGCCCACATTGGAATATGGACTGGCTTAATTTTGTGAAGGTCTGTGCAGACAGCCACAGCTGCTGTGTCTAGAAGACAGCCTTTCAGCCTGTTTCTTGAGGACCTCCTGCTCTTAACGTCATTCTGTCCCATGTCCTGTGGTGTTCACTGAATGGGAGAGTGTGATGTAATCTCATTTATGGCTGAGTACACCGTAGACATGTATTTCTGCACTTTGACCACAGTCTACTGTGCAAGGAAGCTTCTTGGATGAGGCCTGAAGGCACTAATCTATGGTATAGGGATCTGTATTTAAACGGGAGTTTGGCACTATGTCTGTTTGGTGAACTAATAGTCTCTCTGTATGGCTTGCGAGCTCACTAGCCATGAGTATATGGCCAGATTTCTATACCAGGGCACCTGCTTTCCTCCTGGGGAAGGGCCTTAAATTTAGTATAAAGTGCTGGCTACTTTAATAACATTAATGCCACTCACTATTGCACACATGAAGATATCAATCTTGCCATCTGCTGGTCATTGCTACAGGGTTCACAGCTGAATACAACTGTTGATGTCGTCCCTGGAGCAGCTGACAGATTACTTTCTGGTGCCCTTAGAGCTAGGCATTAGAGAGGAATTCAAGGTGAATGCTAGCTTGATTTTTCTATGTCCTGTTATCAGTGTGTGTGGTGTCTTCAGCAATAGTGTCTTCCCTGCCATGAAGTTTGGGAAGACAAGTAGAAGCAATGGCAGTATCTGGTATTGTTTGGGGTTATGTATTTGGGGACACACACACTACCCAATATTAGTTTTTTGTTTTGTTGTTGTTGTTTTGAGACAGGGTCTCTTTTATTTTATTTATTTATATTTTTATATTTTGTTTTTTTGAGACAGGGCTTCTCTATGTAGCCTTCACTATCCTGGACTTGCTTTGTAGACCAGGCTGGCCTGGAAGTCACAGAGATCCACCTGCCTCTGCCTTCCTGAGTGTTGGGATTACAGGCCTCTGCCACTGCAACTGGCTTTTCTTTTTTTTTGAGACTGAATCTCTCTATGTAGCCATGGCTGTCCTGTAGATCAGGCTGGCCCTAAAGTCATAGAGATCTGTCTGTCTTTGCCTCCCAAGTGCTGGAACTGAAGGAGTGTGACACCATGTCCAGCTAGTTAGTTTTTTTGTCAACTTGACACAAGCTAGGTTCTGGGAAGAGGGAATCTAAAGTGAGATGTCTCCATTATAGTTGCCTGTAGGTGTGTGTGGGGGTATTTTCCTGATTAGTGGTTGGTTGGATAGTGCTTCTCCTTGGCCTGTGGTTCTAGGAGGTATAAGAAGTGTAGCTGGTGGTGAACCTGAGAAGCAAGCAGTAGGCAACCTTCCTTCATGATGTCTGCTTCAGTTCCTCCCTGACTTCCTTTCATGATGAACTGTAAGCTGTAAGCTGAAATAAACTCTTTCTTCCTGAAGTGGCTTTCAGTCATGGTGTTCTATAGAAACTTAACTAAGATGCTCTTCTCACAACTCAAGGGCAGAGATTCCATACTGGCTCTGGACTTTTTATTTGGTAAACTGTGGCTTCTTGGAGGCTCCTAATCTCCTGTGTACTGTAATTTTTTTTAATCCTCCTCCCCTATGCTCTGTGTGTGTTTAGGAAGCTTATAAAATAGGAAGTTTCCATATGAGTTTTTCAGATCTTCTTAGTATTCTTTTTTTTTCTATTCTCGCCTCTGTCTTCATATCCCCCTTCCATCTTCCAGTGGTTTCCTTATTTCTTCTTTAAAATTTATTTTACTTTTGAATGTTTTACATTTCTTTATTTATTTTGTGTGTGTGCTCACACAGGCATGTAGAGGTCAGACAACAGTGTTTGACTGTGGT